AGCCTATCGATGTGAGCTGTTACGGCCGTCGGTACGGTTGTCCCCGTCGATGTAATACGGTTGCCCTTGTGAGGCAAGTCTCCTTAAGTCCTGATATGGCCGTGTCCTTGCGAGGTACGTAAGACCATATAGAAGGCCGTGTCCGTAGCGTGACATGTACTCCCGCCTTCGGGTAATGAATCGCCGTTCTGCGGCTAGCGATAGATGTGCACAGGAGTAATGTGGTTGTTGTGATTTTGATAGGAGATGAGACATGATGTGATTATCTTATATTCATGCTGCGACCATACCATTTGACATATGTTATTTATGTGCATAGTAGTGAGCACTACTTTTATCTTGTGCTCACTCCCACCTGCTCTTCACGGATGCAGGTTAAGCAGGTGCCGGATGACGGGGAAAAGACGAGTGGGTTGGTCTTGACTATGATGTTTATGTTTCTGTTTCCTTTATGAATAAAGTGTGATCTTTGAGACATGTTGAAACGTTTTCAAAAATAGTCCGTGTCGGGATTTTGGACCTTTTGTTTGATATTCGTATGAGAGTTATTTATGGATTATCATGTGTCTTGGATAATGCATGCTATGTGGTTTAGCTTATAATCATGTGGAGTTGAATTTTAAAAGGTTAATGAAAACCATGTGAACAACCAGATACGACTTGGTTGATGTTTGATGTTGTATAACGCCCATGATTTCGAAAATTTTATACTGATTTTTGGAAAGTCCGGAATTTCTTTAAAATCAAAGTGGGGTGTTACATTACTCTACTCTAGAGTAGAGTGAAACAAAAATCAAGTTTCGTCTTCAGTTTCCTTGTATCATAACTGTTGCTTGAAATACAACAGTTTCCTTGTAAAGATTATGAAAAGTAAAATAAATTGTGGTCCACGTCATTTATTATTCGGGGCACTCTTATAATTTTGGTAACTGCATTGCTTAAATTTGATTAACCCCAAGTTGCCGAACATTTTTCTGGATTTCAACCAGTTTAATTGATATTTATTCCAAACTTACATATAATATATGAACCAAATTAGAAAGTAAATAAAACAAGAAGAACTTCCCTTTCTCAAAGATTCATAATGCTTGTAGGAACATCTTCAAACATCCTTATTTTAGATCTCATGCAAAAATAATATGTATTTCACATTCTGTCTTAAAACCTAATCTATCTATCTACACACAACAAACACACTTTTTCTCGCTTGCAATATTGGCCGACACTCAAGAGAGCCCCGCCCTGCCCCGCCCCACCCCGCCCCACCCCGCCTCGCTATCGCACTTCTCCTTCTTGTGACTGACTGTGTTGGGAAATACCGAAATACTCACCGCACTTGTAAGCTCGAGCTTGAATTTTATTCAAATATTGTGACATTCTTTTTAGTCTTTAACTATTTTGTTTTTTTTATCTTCCCTTTTGCTATTTATTTATTTATTTATTTATTAATGTACTATTTTTCATAGACTTTCTCTCTTTTCCATGTTTATATATGGAAGAATTTAGCTGGAGGGATATGAATGGTGCCCTCCCCCCCAGCAAAAAGACAATATGGACGTAAGTATATATATATATATATATTGTGTAGAAAAACTCAACTAGAATGTAAATGATTTTATTGGAAATTAGATGATGGGTCATGGGGCCACTTTCTTTGACTTAAACATCAATTGATTTAAATATTAAAAAAATATTCTGCAGAGTTCACAAATCACTTATTAATGTTAATAAGTCTTTTGCAGCAAGTTTTGGCAAATTATATCAACCAAATAATTATGTCAAGCGAGTCCTCCCCCGACAGAAGAAAGGAAAATATCAAAAATTAATGTAACAATAAGTGTTCGTACAATCAGGAATCGACAGACAAAGAAGAGATGGAACCAAAAATACCTAAGGATGAAGTTACATGCGAGGAACAAAAGAGATTTTTCACAACAATTAAAGTGTCTTAATGTAAAAATAAAATAACTATAAAATTTTTAATAATAAAATCACCTGACTAATGTGAGTGTGTTAATAATTATTCTATGTAAAAATAGAATCACTAAGAATTTTTTTAATATTTAAATCAATTAATGTTTAAGTCAAAGAAAGTGGCCCCATGACCCATCATCTAATTTTCCAATAAAATCATTCACATTCCAGTTGAGTTTTTCTACACAATATATATATATATATATATATATATATATATATATATATATATATTGTTGCCTTTTTGCTAGGGGTAGGGCACCATTCATATCCCTCCAGCTAAATTCTTCCATCTATAAACATGAAAAGAGAAAAAGTCTATGAAAAATAGTACATTAATAAATAAATAAATAGCAAAAGGGAAGATGAAAAAAAATAGTTAAAGACTAAAAAGAATGTCATAATATTTGATAAATATATGATAAAATTTTACCAAAATAACTAATTTATGAAATCAAATTATAGTCAAATCGAATTTCTGAATAAATTTTTTGAAATGACACTTATTTTTTTAAAAAAATATATAATTTAATTTATTATCAGTTATATGCACCGCAAGGGTTTTGTATAAATATTAAATAGACATTTTTACGTAATTTTGTACAATTTTAACTTTATATAACATTTTCAATAAATAATATAGGTAAATTGTATTACATATTGATTCCATATTTTTAAATTATAAATATTTTTTAATAATAATTTTTAATTTATAAATATTAATGAATACCTCTTAGCCGTGCACTGCACGAGACTCATACTAGTTCTAACATAATAATACACTCTAATTTATAAAATAATAATTATTAAAATCTAACATAATTTGAATAAAATTTTGATTAAAAAAAAAACACGAGCGACAAACAATAATTGTTGGATCGCCGTTAGCCGGTGCGGCCGCACACGGTGGAAGTGGATCTATTAGGCCAGCCGACCACCACCGAGAGCGGCCACAATCGCCGGCCAGCTTTCGGCGGTCTGGTCAGTATTTGCGGTCGGCCTTATTTTTCATAAAACAAAAAAAAAAAAAAATATCAGGGGCAAAACAGTTCAAAGTGGGCGGCAAGTAGTAAAAAGGGATTGGTGTTTAGCAATGAAGAACTATATTGGCTTTCGAGATTATACTATTTATTATGGTGTATTCAATTGGGATTTCTAAGGACTTTTTCAGACTTTAAAAAATCATAGTGTATTCAATTTAGTTTTGTTAAGACTTTTTAAGAATTTTAGAAGTCTTGGGCTATTCGATTAGATTTTATAAAGTCTTACAAAATCATAATATATTTAACTTACTTGATATTATGATTTGTTAAGACTTTTTAAGATTTGGTGGAATTTCTTAAAAAAAAAAACATTATACGAAATTTCACTTCAAATTTTACCTCCATACTTAAATGATTCAATAGAATTTCTCTAAAATGTGAAAATTTATGAGGAAATATTTAATTGAGATTTTAAGTGGATTGTTTTAGACATCCGACTTTTTAATAAGTCAAGAATAAATTATTTTTTTAATAAGTCAATAATAAACATTGTTTTTCCGGTTTGCTTATTAGTTTCAAAGTATAGAATAATATGAGGAATAAATCGGTTATGCTCGAATAAATAAAAACCTGAACACGGAAGAGGAAGTCATTAATCCCCAAAGCTGTACATATAAGGACACTCCTCCTGGTGTTCACCCCACCCCATGAATGGTACGCCATCTCAATGTATTGCCTACGGGTTCTAACCTCAATACCAACGCGATGTCACTAGACGCTTTCAAAGAGGCGCTCAAGCCCTGCAAAATAAGCTTATCGTCCTCCGTTTCACATTCTTCTGCACAACAATTCGATGCCTCAACTACAACAAGAAAGCCTCCTAAATCCTCCATCTCTCGGCAGATTTTGGGCCTTGAGGATGAAAATTTATCCGACCACCTAATAAGCTCAAACGAAGGGACCAATTCCAATCGTGGAAGTGAACAAGAAGGTGACAAGAATGGTGGGGAGGTGTATAAAAAGGAGAAAAATAGAGTGAGGGAGATCAGGTTGGAGCCTTTTGATCACACCGGACCATATGAACCTCTTCTTCTGTCTTTGCCGGGCGAACTTCCCGCCGTGCAGGTCATTTTGGAGAACCCATATGCTGAAAGTTTTATATTTTGCTACTTTGATTTTGTGAAATTTTGGTTTGCTTATATGCATATTAATTTTCTGTAAATTGTCCCCACTAAAATCAGGGCTAGTATCATCTTGATATTTGTATTGAACACCAAGCATCAATCTCTTCTGAAAACTTGAATTTGGTCATATTAATGAATTATTTTGTGTGGCAGTGTTGATCAAAAGTTTCGATTTTTGGAAACAAACACGCCGTCTACCTGTTCACATAAATGGAAGTTAAATAGGTTCAAGCAACTTTTTAATTGTAGGGGTTGTAGATAAAGTGTTGGAAGTAAAATATAGAATCATAATATTTGGGTTGTCGAGCAATAAATGTGTTTCAAAGTGCATGTCTCTAAGTAATTTTGAGGTCTGTAGGATCTGTGTTATGCATGGAAAACAATTGCGATATCACCTCTTAGACCTGTTGAATTCATCAGAACTGTAGTACATATGGAATGCTTATATTTTGTTTTCAACCCGTATACATCTATACTGGAAAAGACGTTTATTTTGAAATAATTGGATGATTGTCAGTTATTTTTTTCTTTAACAGTAGAGGGTTATAGAAGAATATTCACACTCATAGGAGCTAGAGTTAGGGGTCTTCGAATAAAAGATAAAGGATCTATAGAATGATATAGTTGCTCAATGTTTAATCCTTGGGGTAGGTAGACACCATAGTGAAATCTTTAGGTAAGGTAGGTGTGATAAACTTTCTGCTGATAGTTTTTGTCCGGAATCATCTTTCATTTGTGAAAGAGGTTAAATGTTGAAATTGGATGTTTTAATGTTTCTGATATTGTTTATGGTCGAGGCAGAGGTATCCTCACGCCAGTAATGGTAGTAGTGGCTTACATACCCCACATGTTCCTTGTAGCTATGGGACATATGTCGACCAGTGATGATTGTCAAATTGATAAAGGGAAACACATTTGAGGCTGAGCTTTTGTCTGTTTGTTATTTCTTAATGCAATGTTCTTCAGATACAGTAACAATGGAATTGCGCTTTGGTAAGTCGCCTGTTAGTGTCCCGTTTGGTGAAAGATCAAACTTTGAAAATTGTTAGTGGTTTGATACATCTTAATAGATATATGCTAAAACCGACACACACTACACGCACTCACACGCATCCAAATACACATATGGAAGTTGGTATGGAATTTGGCTTTGGGTGAATGTGCTCGATTTATTATATAGTGATTATAGTTTTTTGTATTTTTGCAACATTTATGAATATATTGTTTTCATTTGTATATTATCTTTGGTGGGAGGTAATTTCAGAAAACTTAAGCCTAAAATATGAATTTCTGCTAAATGTTTGTATTTGGTCTGCGTCCTTTGGGAGTTAGTTTTGTCCATCAACAATTAATGAGTACTATTAGACTTTGGGCACTGTAAGTTGTGGTTTGATTACTGCGGTAGCACACTAATCATTTTATCGAGTTTCTTAACAATTCCTGTAATCAGAATGTTTTTACAAGATAAAGTTTCCATAGTTTGTTATATTTCATTGGAAGCAGACATGCCAATGACTTCTATAGTTTCCTGAATCTGGTTTAAATTAATGAAACACTATGTATATTAGTGGAAGATAGTCTTTATTTTAGCAATTCTAGTTTACCTTGCTATATAAAGAATATACTCATTATATCCATTTCGCTATATAAATCATATTTTCAGGTTCCTGCTTCTATAAATAGTAGACTTTTGGAACATCAACGTGACGGGGTAAAGTTCTTGTATAAATTGTATAGGAACAACCACGGAGGAGTTCTAGGTGATGACATGTAAGTCACTCTTCTGTTTTCTCTATTATTACTTTATTTGTTAGATTGTGAAGATAGATAATTTTTTTTCATCATTTTAATTTTAGTGACTAGTGCATTTGGTTGCTTCATCATTCACATTTTCATTTCTCACTTTTATCCTGGAATATCAGTCATATATTTGCGGTTCTTTCGTATCTTGCTTAAGCCAATTGATGTAGTATGCAAATCCCATCTCTCCCTTTCTTTCCCCCCACTCGCTCTTCTACGTGTACAGATGAGAGTCATGAGATAATACAAATTAATTCAATTCACAATTATTGGGTTCTTGCTGTAGTTTCTTTTTCTTGATCAGCTGATGTTTCTGAAGATGAGGTAGAACATGGTTGATCTGTATGTTCCTTTCTTATATGATTTGAGGTGCTCCTCCCATCCCAAAGCAATTTTCCTTTTCGCCCATTTTAGACTCAATTATTGCCATTTAAGAGGAACAAAGTTTTGACTAAGACTTCCAAAAGCACCATAACTTTTACTTTCTAAACTTGCGGTTTTTAGATCTTTTACATATTATTGAAATACACGTGTGCTTGGATATTTTCTTCGGCGTGCCCGATTGAAGAGAGGCAAGAAAATATACAAAATAGAGATTTATGGATAGTGAATCCATTATGACACAATTTTTTATGTAAAAACCAAATATGACAGCAATAACAACAAATAAACACGCTGCTAAGCCTACTCATTAGATTCTAACATCAGCATAACCGAATCAATCATAAAACAACATTAAGAAAATAGCAACATAATTTCTCTTCCAACGTAAAACAACAGTAATAAGCCAACAACAACAACAAGCCGTTAAAATCTCACTGAGTGGGGTTGACTATACCAAATAATAAGCCAAAACCATCAAATCCACAAAAGCACCACCAATCAAAGGTAATGGTATAATTCACCTCATTAATTTAGTATCCACATCGTCTTTCTCTTCATTGTCACCTCTAAGATCCTCCCATTCCTCTTGCTCATTTATAAGCCCAAATGATGAAGATGACATAAGTTGACCTCGTTGAAGTTGATCTGGTTCTAATACTTGAATCCTCAAAACTAGCGGCTTTAGTAACATCATTCCATGTCATGTTTTCATTCCTAAACCGAGAACTTCCTCTCTAGCACCAACCAATCACTCATTACTTTTATCAAGTATCAACGGCATTGCAAGGCCCTATTGTACTGAACAAACACTTAGCCGCTTGTGATTATTACTTTTCCTTGAATGAATTGTCAAAATAATTATCCTTACATTAGTTAATATAAACGATAATGGTTTATTATTTTGTATCATAAATTATACTTGTACAAATATAATAAAGTATTAGTGATTAAAATGGCGAGTGAGGCGATGCGCTCTCTTTCGTATCTTATTTCTTAAATTAAACCTATTTTCTCCAACAAAAATTCAATGAACGAAGCGCATGGGTGGTAAGATGCTGCACCTATGACCGATAGGTCATGGGTCGAGTCACCGAGAAGGGGAAGTGGGAAAACTATTGATCCTCCTTAAGAAAAAGGACTTCAACAGTTTTGTGCTGTTTCTTTATGCAGCGACTGGTTTCCAGTGGTTTTCCAGCAACACCGATGGCTCCACTGACAGGTATGTGTTGGTCTCTTTCTTTCTTTCTTTCTTTTTGGTTTTCTTCGTACTCCTTTCTATTCTTATTTTCTTTCTTTCTTTTTCCTTTTCAAATTCTGGCCACGATTAGCCCTCTAACTAATCACTGCACATATCAAATCCTCCAATTAATTCTTTCGGTTTTGTCTTTTCCACTTTTCTTTCTTCCAGAATCGGCCCCTATTACTTGTCTCTTCTTTTCCCTTTTTATTTTTTAATTCACTCCTGAGTGGGTTGGTAAAAAAGAGCTGCTGGTCGAAGGCACTATTTATTTTGTGAAAAAATTCTTGTTTCGACTGATTTTTTTTTATTCTCTTTTTTTTTTTTAAAAAAATCAACTAAAGTATATATAAATCATTATTTGTCTATAATTTCAGTATGTTTGCAATTTCATCACCTTGCTTTGAAAAGGCGGGCGCCTCGTTGCGTGCCTTCTTAATCACTGATCATAATAAAAAAACTTACATGTTTAAAAAACTTCAGTTTCACTCACTCACATTCGGAATAACTGTAAGTTGGACTTGATAACAAACTTTTGCAATTTGCATATCGGACCTATATGATGCCCACCTATCTGGCGGTGCCCGCAATCCTTTGCAAGTCGCGTATTGGACCTATATGATGCACATCAATCTATTGGTGCCCGCATAGCTCTTTGCCTAGGAAAACCATAAAGGCCCTCAGTACTTGTATAATTTAATTCAAATTTGATGTTGTTTTTGGCACTTTCAACCAATCCCTTGCAGGGTTATCAAATTTGCAGCATCACAATATGTCGTGGCTAATATTGCCAAACCTCCGCTATTGATAAGACAAACCTCGATAGACTCTTACAATTCTTTATTTATACAGAGATGCCACGACACTCAAATCTTTATATCAGAACACCAGTTTCAAGAGAAAAGCTCAGCAACATGTGAAGGTCTGTGCAACTAAGCATCCCACATTCGATCAATGACATCATAAAGCTCTTTGTACTAGCTAGCGTTCCCTTCAAAAGCAACCATTATAGATTCCTTAGCTCTATCCATTGCCTTTTTTGCCTTGTAAATATTTCCGACTTGAGGTTTTTTACCATCTTCAATCCAAAGTACGCGAACAACAGGATAAGCAAACTTCAAAGCAATTGAAATATTATTCCTAAGTGATAGACATCGTCATGATCTCGACGACCTTTTTGGCTTGTGCCTCATTTGCCAATTTTCTTTTGAGTCTACTCCTTGTACGCAAACGTCGTTCGCAAATTGGACTTTGCAAGATGAAATCGTTGCAACGTTAAAAAGGCTGTTGCAAAACTACTTTTTTCGATTTCACACTCTAGTGTAAAATATTGCATCATGTTCAACAGAGTGGGGCAATTTTAAATAGTCGTGCACAGTTGGGCACTCGAAATACCTTTCCCAAGTCTTTTCAACATGTGAAATTTTATATTATCTTCCTACCTAAAATCGAGATAATGACAAGGACTTCGAATAAATGTGAGAATGTCCGACAACTCGTTTGCCACGAAACTCTTGGTGACTACTCGAACCACAATATTTTGTAAGTAGCAAGATGTAAGTTTCAAGCTAATCTTGAATGTTCCAATCATCCTTTGTATAGCTTGATGCACCACATAGTAAAAAAATATGCTGTTGTGATGAGAGCTGAACAAAAATTGACAACGTTCGGTTCTGCAGACCGGTCCACTCATCACATTTATGAGCACTTGTATTAGCCTAATTTGCAGATTTTCTGAATGTGAACAAATCTGGAGTGTTTTTGAGCATGTAATTATCATTCTAATGCTTTTCTATTTTTTGTTCAAGTGCAACTTCTGATGTAAATAATAAATTATTATTATTATTATTATTATTATTATTATTATTATTATTATTATTATTATTATATTTGAGGATGATTATTTTATAGATTTAATCAAACAAAATGGATCACAAGCTAATGGTTTGATGTTTGTCAAGTAAAATAGGCAGCGCTGCAGTACTTGATGCGAGGTAAAATCGATCCAATTGCATTGAAGGATATTGATGAAAGTAATGAGGGATTGGTTGAGATAGTGTGAGTTTGTATTTGAGGATGATAATTTAATAGGGGATGATGATATATGATACATTGATGAACCGCCAGAATCAGGTCCAAATTGAGAAAAAAAGGCACAAATCAGTTTAGGGTTTCGTTGGAGAGTGAATAATTGAGAGATAATAAAGGAATCCCCGTAACCTAATTTGCTAAAATGGGCCTGGGCGTTTGGCTGAGGTCGCCACACATGAAGCGAGCGCCTTTTTTCCGGTGCCTCTTCCCGCCTATTTGATGTGCCCCAGGGCAGCCCTGCACTTCGTGCCAGGACAACTCCTTTTTGATCAATGGAAGTGGGGAGGAACAATCTACAGCTCGTGGTCTCTCTTGTTGGCAACTTGGGATATGGTGTAACACAATGCTGATAAGTTCTTTAGATTTGATTCAGTTCTAGTACATCTTCTGAGCTGTTAACATTAGAGCGTATGTTTTTTGTTTTAGCACCTGTTTTTGACATAATCGTACATTCTTCTATAACAATACAGTGCTGATAAGTTCTTTAGATTTGATTCACTTCTAGTACATCTTCTGAGCTGTTAACATTAGAGCGTACGTTTTTTGTTTTAGCACCTGTTTTTGACGTATTCGTACATTCTTCTATAACAATACAGTGCTGATAAGTTCTTTAGATTTGATTCAGTTCTAGTACATCTTCTGAGTTGTTAACATTAGAGCGTATGTTTTTTGTTTTAGCACCTGTTCGGCGTATTCATACATTCTTCAATAACAATACACTATTCGTTGTTTATTCATGTTTTAGCACCTGTTTGACGTATTCATACATTCTTCTATAATAATACACTATTCGTTGTTTATTCATGTTATTTTTAACCACTATCTTTCCATTTTTTCTGGCCTCTTGTAATTCGCGCATCTGGATTCTATGACTTGCATCAGGGGGTTGGGTAAGACCATTCAGGCAATTGCTTTCTTGGCCGCTGTGTATTCAAAGGATTCTGAGAAACACATAAATCCTCACCGGGTAGAGCAAGTAAACAAGAAGGGGCCTGTACTAATCATTTGTCCAAGCTCTGTCATTCTTAACTGGGAAAGTGAATTCTCCAAATGGTCCACGTTTAGCGTTTCTGTTTACCATGGTGCAAATCGCGATTTAATACTTGACAAACTAACAGCAGATGGTGTTGAGATTCTTATAACTAGTTTTGACACATATCGATTACAAGGTAGCACTTTGTCAGACATTCGGTGGGAAATTGTGATTGTTGATGAGGCACATAGACTTAAGAATGAGAAATCAAAACTTTATACGGAATGTTTGAAGATCAGAACCCTTAAGCGGTATGGTCTAACAGGGACAGTGATGCAGAACAAGATAATGGAGTTATTTAATCTATTTGACTGGGTGGTACCTGGTGGCCTTGGGACCAGGGAACATTTTCGTGAATTTTATGATGAACCTCTGAAGCATGGTCAGAGATCAAGTGCCCCACAGCGATTTGTTAAAATTGCTGAAGAACGAAAACAGCATTTAGTGTCAGTTTTACAGAGCTATATGCTTAGAAGAACAAAAGAGGAAACAATTGGTCATCTTTTGTTGGGAAAGGAAGATAATGTTGTATTTTGTGCCATGAGTGAGTTACAAAAGCGAGTTTATCAGAGGACGCTGCAGCTGCCCGACATCCAATGCCTTGTCAACAAGGACTGTTCATGTACTTGTGGAAGCCCTCTCAAACAAGTTGAATGTTGCAAAAGAACAGTGCCAAATGGTATCATCTGGCCTTATCTACACAAGGACCAGCCAGAAGGGTGCGACTCTTGCCCTTTCTGCCTTGTTCTCCCTTGTTTAATCAAGCTCCAACAGGTATCTTCTTCGAATTCTTGTTTAGATATGTGTATGCTACCTCAAAATAAATTGGTTATGGCAACACATTAGTTTATGACAATAATCCTTAAACTGAAGTCAACCTGAAGATTGTTGAGAAATTATTGTTTATGCACTAAATATTATTTGTGCCACTTCTGTCAAAGTTCATACTTCATAGAAGGCCCTGTATAATTATCTGCTACTATTGTTAGAGACATTTTCGTTTGACTGCAAATGAGAGCATAAGAGCCTTCAAACTGTTATTATAGCGTGCTCAACTTCAATCATTTAGAACAGTAATAAAACGTGTAGATAATTGAGAACATTAGTATCAAGCTGAAATCATTACATTCTGTCCCCAAACAATGTTTTGGCAGTGTACTGGTTTGGAAGTCCTTAACCTCTACACCAACATTGCATGTAATCATTCCCAAAGAAGAAGGGAAAAAAGAATAAAAGAAAAAGAAAAGCAACTAAGTGCTACCTGTGGCTTCATGGCGTATCGTGAAGTGGCATTTCTGATTAACTTTCATCCAGTAAAATTTATAAATAAATATAGATTTTTCAGTCATTTACTTGTTTCCAATGAAAATAGAGTATCTTCAAAGTGAGTTGTGAAAGGGTATACTTGGATTGCAAATTTGATGTGTTACTTCCTTAGCCAATCGGCACTGAGGAAAAGCATCAAATATGAACAATTTTTTTATTTTATTTTATTTTTTTTTATTTTTTTTTTATTTGTGATTGGCACATGAACACAGTTTGTAGAATGTTGATTGTACCCTTCAACAGAGAGGAGCTTTTACATTTGTCTATCTCACAGGTAAGTAACCATCTTGAGCTTATTAAGCCTAACCCGAAGGATGATCCTGATAAACAAAGAAAAGATGCTGAATTTGCTTCTGCTGTATTTGGTACCGATATTGATCTAGTGGGTGGTACTGCCCAGAATGACAGTTTCATGGGCGTTAGTGATGTTAGACATTGTGGAAAAATGAGAGCTTTGGAGAAGTTGATCAATTCTTGGATTTCTGTGGGCGACAAGATACTTCTGTTCAGTTATTCAGTGAGGTAATGGTTTGCAGTATCACAGTTGTTTATCTTCAGCTGCGTTACTCATTGATCTAATGCCTCTGCTCTCTAGTATGCATCGGGGTTTATTTTATAATTTGTAGTAAAACACCAGATAAGATGATGTATCTAAAACCTAAGGGGACAAACTAAGTCTTAAAAGAAGTGAGAGAAAAAAAAGCTACAACTTATTTGATCTTGCAGTAAATTTTGTCGACATTTTACCAGTAAGCTAGATAAATTCTGCACTTCTGTTTAAAGCTAACCTTTTGTGCTCTAAGTACTTTACTGTCAAATTCATTTTTGAATAGATGCTCGTTGAATGTGTTGTGTTTTCTTTTGACAGTCTCACAGATATTGAATAAAAGGGCAAGATATCAAGGGTTGTTATCAAAGATTGCATTACCTATGAATGGAAGTATAATTTAAGGAATTTGTAGCTTGAAATATTTATTTATTTACTTATTTATTTATTTTTTTTTTGAGTTGCAGTAGCTGTTGACATGTAATATATTTCATTGTTGCATAAATTTGAATTGACTAGGAATATGTGGTCTGACTCATAAATTCTGACATAAAGGATAACTTTGATATTTTGAGGTTTTGTTCATGAGACCATGATTTTAGTCTTCAGATAGGATATTTCTCTAACCTTGCCAATATATTTGTTTTGACCTTTCGTCGTCCCCCTTCCGGGTAACTGATTCCAAGCGTTTCTTTCAGTCAACTAATCTTTTCATTGAACTACTTCAACCAATGAGAGTGAAATGCCTTTCCACTCGATTCTCATATTTTTGTTTTAATTTGTTACTGGAAGTATTACTACTGTCCTGGCCTCCGCATGTTATGCGCAATTCCCATTGCATTGTTTTAGTTGTAAAAGCTGCAAGGAATGTCAACCTCTTCGGCTCTTCCAATATTTCTTCCACTCCTGTATCAAAATTTATATTGAATCGACACATCATATGTAGACAGCACATGAGTGTCTCTTGTATGAAGAAGAATAACTTCCTTTTCAAACGCCAATACTGTCTCATTGCTCTTCCTTTTATTGTTTTTCAGCCTACTTTATGGCAGAGTTGTGTATAGCTGTTTGTTGGTTCTATTATGATACGTGTGTGTCTAGATTTACTTGTTTGTCTGAAGGATGTTATTCCTAGCAGGATGCTGGATATACTCGAGAAGTTTATTATACGTAAAGGCTATAGCTTCTCGAGGCTTGATGGTTCCACTCCGACAAGTGTGCGCCAGTCACTCGTGGATGACTTTAACTCAAGTCCAAGTAAACAGGTCCATTTCTGGCAAACACATGTGGTTTCCTTTTGTAAATTCCTTTGCTGCTTTACCATAAATGGAATTCCGAATAGTTGTAAGCTTAAGTTGCGACTGCAGGTATTTCTCATTTCTACTCGAGCTGGTGGGCTTGGTCTAAATCTCGTGAGTGCAAACCGGGTAGTAATATTCGATCCAAACTGGAATCCTGCTCAAGATTTGCAGGCGCAAGATCGATCTTTTCGTTATGGTCAGAAGCGGCACGTAACAGTCTTCCGTCTTCTTGCAGCAGGTTCTCTTGAGGAACTTGTGTACTCTAGGCAGGTATATAAGCAACAGCTGTCAAATATTGCTGTTGCTGGGAAAATGGAAAAGCGATATTTTGAAGGTGTACAGGTATACATGTTTTTTCCCCCCTCCTTTGAACTATTCCTTACATGGGTTTTGTTTTCCGTACTCATTCTCAAATGAATTTCTAAAGGATTGCAAGGAGTTCCAGGGCGAGCTGTTTGGTATCTGCAATTTATTCCGTGATCTTTCCAATGAGCTCTTCACTAGTGAGATTGTAGAATGTCATGAAAAGATACAAGGGGAAGAATCGAGTATCAATAATAGTACAAGCATCAACTCCACTGAAGTAGGACTCAATTTTGATCTACCCCAGAGAGTAGGTACAAAGAGTTCAGTAGGTTCTGAAACTAACGAGCCTACTAAAGATAAGCGAAAGACAAGAACGAACACAACTCTGGAAGATCTTGGTGAGTAAAGCTTTGTTACACAGTTGCAATAATGGCATACTTGCGAGTGTTGGAGCTCAGTAATTGATTTGTATCCTATTTAATGGACTAAGGTTTTGTTGTTTCCAGGTGCTGTATACGCACACCGAAATGAAGATATTGTTAATGCTGGAAGTGGGGCCGTGGTTCAGGGTAAACCGAGAGCAGTTTTGAAAGAAGATGTGAATTTGAAGCAAAAGATTCAAATAGATCTTGTTCCAGAGGAAGCAAAAGATTCTGATTCATCTCAAATTTGCAAGAGAAGGAAAAGTGACGACTGCAGCTTTCTCGCGACGTTGATGGGCATGGAGGAGTGTGAATTAAACAAGTTGCTAAACTCGGAACCTCCATAGCACCAAGACACCGACGGTTGAGAAAGTCTCCTTACTGCGTTTATATCTTTGTTGAAGTTGTATCATATATAGTAGCTCTTGTCTGCTTTCATAGTTCTTGTTTTGTATATAAAATAGTGTAACATTCTAGTGTTTGTATATGATATTATTATACATAGTTGTACTTGACTCTTCTTTGATCCCACATTGAAAATAATATAAACCGCAGCGCAGCAATATATTTAATATTCTCACTCTTCATGTGACCCAACTATCTACAACTGACATGAAAACATAAAGATGATTAGCTTTGGCGACCTTCTTTACATGCACCACCATACTAACTAAGTCTTTTCTACCTGTGCCCTTATCTAATCAACTTGGGCAATATTTCCATTTTAATTTTTTTTTTTTTTTGAAATGAAAACTTCATATAGTATATATATCTGTAACCCCCATGAAAATGGGTATATGTATGTAGCGAGATGCAGAGAAGCACAGGACGGGCGGCATGCGCATCGTGCAAGCACCAACGCAAGAAGTGCACGAGAAAGTGCATGCTGGCGCCCTTTTTCCCCGCAGAGAAGGCGCGTGAGTTCGGGGCAGTGCAGAAGGTGTTCGGGGTGAGCAACGCGAGCAAGATGATAAGGAGGGTGAAAGAGGAGGAGAGGAAGGTGGCGGTGGAGTCGCTCGTGTGGGAGGCCTTGTGCCGCCACAAAGATCCGGTGTTGGGGCCCTATGGCGACTACCGACGTGTGTGTGAGGAGCTCAGCTTGTACAAGACCCTCTGTATGTGTGTCTATCCCCCACCACAACCTCTACCTCTAATCAATAATCATAATCATAGTCATAATAATGATGTTATTATCAACACTGGTGATGCGGATGGCAATAGGTTTCATGGAACTGATGACACAATTAACAATAATAGTGTTGTCGTGGATTATTGCCCATATCGATATTCTGAAGGAGATAATGCTTAAGCTCTAATTCTGTCTTCTCACTATTCAGGGAATGCTTACATCCTTGAACTTTTTAAACAAGAAATAATAATAAATCAATTAAAAAAGGACACATGCATTTTTAATACTACTTATTGTGCGATTTATGATTTATATTAAACATTTATTAAATTTTATTTTCCTACTTTGACTTCTTCATACATGTGTCCAGTTAGCTTATTTGAGCCGAGTGCTTCCACTACAAAAAAAATGTTATATTCCAACGGAAAATCCTATGGTAATATATTCCAATAGAAATTCCAACGGATATTCCAATGGTATAGCTTCCGTTGAAATGGTTCCAACGAAAATATTCCGTTGGAATGTGTTTTTCATTGGAATTTTAGATGGAATTTGGTGATTCCAACGGCTATATTTTCAACGGCTTTTACCGTAGGAATTTCCGTTGGAATATGCAATTTCCGTTGGAATTTTTATTTCCACCCCTGTTGGAAAATCCACCGTTGGAATCGTCAAAATCCAACGGAAATTACAATGGAAAACTCATTCCAACGGAATATTTCTGTTGGAATTTCCGTTGGAATTCATTGAAAAATTCTAACGGAAATAATAGTATTGAAATATCCGTTGGAATTGCCATTGGAATCATTGTATTATAATAAATTTCCGTTGGAATTTTATTATTTTCTTGTAGTGTTCATGTTCGAACTTGTGCCCATTTAATAAAGGAGACGGCGTAGCTCAACTCGTTAATAAACCAAAAAAAAAAAGTGAGCTCGAGTTCCACTATAAAACTCAGACCAAAACCCGAAACTATAACCGAGTTGATCAAACATGATCAACTCTACGTGTTTGATAGACAAACTCCGTATATTGTTTGAGCTTGAATTATTTAAATAATTAAATTGAACTATCTTAGTGGACAAACAATGTTCGAATAACATATATACATTTTGAAGTCTCAGGGCGAAAAAAATAAAAAAAAAAAATTTGGCCACGCCCTTGGTCGTATCTATCTATAATGTTTCTAAATTGCTTTACACATTTGGTCATGCAGTTATACGTATGGCATGATTTCTTAGGCCCTGATTGAATACAAATTATTTGGGCTAAAGTACACTACGACGACACTTGGACAGAGAAATAAAAAATTTACGAGATAAAGTTTTCAATCCCAAATTAATCCACATAAATATGTTTTCTGCCCCCTAGCTAATAGGATAGTTAAAATAAAAAAAGGCATGCGATAGTTAAAGTAAAAAAAAAGCAACTAACTAAAGTAATTTAATTCTGCCGCAAATCAATATAACTGATATTCTTGCCCTATTTAATAAACAAAAAATTACCAAATAGAAATGGACGGATCTCTTAGGATGGCCTGAGAAAAACCATGTGTTGATTTTATAAAGAAAAAATGTTTAATCATAATACAGAAGTAGAAAATCTAGTAAAATTGTGTTAATATTTCATTCATGTAAATACAGGATGCAAAATATTGTTTGCCTTTGTTTGTATATATTTATCTAATGTTGGGTTTATAAACCAGATTTTCTACTACAACTTTATATCTAATTTATTTTAATTTATTATTAGTTTATCTTATAAACCAGATTTTCTACTATAAATTATATTTAGTTTATTTTTAGTTTATTATAAATATATAAACCATTACAAGAATAAAAACTGTGAATTTAAATTTGTATATAGTTTATTTTCAGTTTATTATACAAGGAAAATTTATATATAGTATATTTTTTAGTTTATTATAACTATAAATTTACAATAATACAAACTGTAAATTTAAGTTCATATATGGTTTATTTTCAGTTTATTATACAAGAAAAATTTATATATAGTATATTTTTAGTTTATTATAATTATAAAATTAATAAGTATGTTTTTTAGTTTATTATGGTTATAAAATTACAATAATACAAATGTAAATTTAAGTTTATATATGGTTTATTTTTCAGTTTATTATATAAGAAAAATTTATATATAGTATATTTTTAGTTTATTATAATTATAAAATTAATAAGTATGTTTTTTAGTTTATTATGGTTATAAAATTATAATAATACAAACTGTAAATTTAAGTTTACATATGGTTTATTTTCAGTTTATTATACAAGAAAAAATTATATATAGTATATTTTTAGTTTATTATAATTATAAAATTAATAAGTATGTTATATAGTATATTTTTAGTTTATTATAATTATAAAATTAATAAGTATGTTTTTTATTTTATTATGGTTATAAAATTACAATAATACAAATTGTAAATTTACGTTTACATATGGTTTATTTTCAGTTTATTATACAAGAAAAATTTATATATAGTATATTTTAGTTTATTATAATTATAAAACTGATACTCTTTTACGTACAAAAACGAAACATTCACTCACAAAATTAATGAACAACTAAAATATAAAATACAACATCAAAACAAA